AGATCGAAGAGCTAGAGAAAAATAGGACAGATATCGTTGCTGAGAATGCTGAACTTAGATCTAGAGTTGTGAAATTGGAACAAGATATAGTGGAACTTAAAAAAGAATTAGAAGCAAAGAAAAATCGTAAGTTTCAGGAGAAGTGTATTCTAATTGCTCAAGTATTACTTGGAGAAGAACCCATAGTTGAGTATCGCCCTTCTTTCTTGAATGGATTAGAGCTTGATGCCTTCTTCCAAAAATATCGAATTGCATTGGAAGTGCAAGGGGCTCAGCATCAACTTAATAGCACTAGCTGGTATAAGGATGTCAAAAAACTTGAAGACATCGTTAATCGTGATCGGCAAAAACGATGCATATGTCAAGATAATGGAATTTTTCTTCTTGAAGTATGGTACAATGAAAAACTGGAAATCATTATTCCAGAAAGGATAAAGAAAATTAAGGAGTTCATTGATTAAGCATCCAAAAGTTTCGACCTCCTATAATCAATTGCATTATAATACGTGTACTCTATGTTTAAATTGCAGATAAATATCGCAAAATCGGTTGATATTCTTAAACCAATTTTTGAGACGCTCTGTACTTCATATAAAAATGAGTTAAAAAGGTTATGTCCTCATCAAAATATGAGCCATTAACGTAAGAACGTCATTTATATTATTTTTTTTTTGTGAAATTGCATTAATAAAATTATTTCTTGGCATTTGTTTTTCAAGACCGATGATTCTACAAAAATCCTTCCTGAGAACGTTCCACCAAAAACTGAGGTGAGTGTTTCAACTTGAGCTGACAAAGGCAAAACTTTGGGATGGTAAGATTTCTCATAAATTTTTTATAATACCGATTCAGATCACCTGATCCATGTTCGGGATGTCATATGACAATTAATCAGACATGTATATATACCTGCATTCTCACGTCATTTGCTCATAAACCATGTTGCAAGCAAAAAAATTCCTTAATTCAAGATGCTACAAAAGAAAACAAAAAGGACTGAATTCAGTAAGTATATTTCTTTGTGTGTCAAGTCCCTTTCCTTTAGGTTGCCTTTGTGAGATCACTCTTTTCAATGCAGTGAAAGGGTGTCATCATTTCACATACTGTAGTGTGATTCCTGTTCAATCCATTTGTTGCTTTCGAAAGAGTGGTTTATTCGTAGACCGCAAGGGACATACAACCTAGAGAAGTTTCCCTAAATAAGGTCTACTAATTCTGGAGGAGGAATTGGTTACGTTTCTTCCTTATTAAAGGAACTTACACTTTATACATTAAAAAATATCCTTACTTAATGAGCACATTTCATTAATAAGATTTTTTATTATTAGAATATTTCAGTAGATGATAACAAAGAAAACCTAGTACCACCACATTTATCTCCCCATTCGAAACGATTAAAATATTAAGAAGGTTAATATTCAAAATGGTATTTTTATTCATAGTAGTTAGTTTAATTCTATTTTTCTTTACTGCAGAACACAAGAAGACAGTTGAATTTTCCCTTAATTCAGATTGCCCCTCAACTGCTGCCAAGCCTGAGAAATTCTTCAAACTTCAAGAAAAGAACCCAATTTTCAATAGGCGATCACTTAAAAATACTGGTCCTTCCATCTTTCTCTACGATAGTGTCTTTGGCCAATTTCTCAACGATTTTGAGAATGTGAATTTAGAGATACCTTTTGATCATTACATATGAACTCAGAATATTATTTATGAAGCAGCAAAGCATTATAAAATCGAAAATTAACGCAGAGAAGTCCTTAGAGAAAGACTCTCACAAAAGTTAGGACCTATAATCCTACAGCAATATGATGAAAAATGTATATGTGATGGAGTAGCTATAATCAAAGTTTCAAGATTATATATTGGCTATCAATTGTTTCTCAAAGTAAAGAACGAGATTGGTTCAGGAGGAAGTGATCCCACTATTCAAGCCGCCATTTATTATCGAGATCACTGGGTTCAATCTATTGTAAGTTATTCAATCCTTTGATTAATTGTGCAATACTAATATCTGATATGTTCACTATGTTGCTTATGTAGTCTAGTCCAGTTCGAGAATGTTGCTGTGCACTATCATTCGTCATCGCTGTGGCAGGACTATGGTTATGTGTCCTTGGATGTATATTTCTAGAAAAAGTAATTGTTCAGCCATTGACAGATCTTATTTCATTCACTATAAACATGGAAGACTATAAACAATTAGAACAGATTGCTCAGCTTTTTCAAGCGCTGTATCTTGCTGTTTATCGCCTTAAAGATTTCTACAAGAGTTTGAACCTGATCCCATCTGAACAGAGGTTCTTTTCATATCTTAATAAGTATCAAACTGAAAACAACAAAACTATTTCTTTTACTTATCTCTATCAGTTCGAAGGATCCTTAAAATTTCTATGGAAGGCTGAGACAATTGATGGGTGCTTAATTGTTGTAAAACTCACCTGGGAATATAATGCTGATGAGCATAGTGGGCTTAAACCTGATTGGTTGATTTTTAAAATGATCATCACATATTAAATTCATATAAAAAAGATGATCATCAATCTTTAAATGGA